AAGATGAGTATGTTCATCTGACTGGTATCATATGCACCCAGATATGCTCCAGGCCCTTGACATCATGTGTCTGTCATCTCTGTGTCCGATTTGCCCTCCTCAGAAGACTCATGGACACAATAGCACACAAAACTACCCCTCCTATGGCAGTCAAGCCAGAAGATGACAAAACTGAGACAGACAAAGAGAACAAATCTCAAGCAGCAAAAGTGGAGGCCCAAATTCAGGATCTTCAGGTGTGTGAGCATACACATCAATCTTCTGAAGAAAGAGCTAAAGTTGGCACTCCAATCATAGAAACTACTACATACCCTGCATCAAGGCTCCAAGAGGAAACCTGGTGTCAAACACAAAGGCAGAGATGGACAGCACAAGCACATCAAAGTGGAGCAGATTGAGGTGCCTCACTCCCTTGCCTCCGGCGAGGTGATTGACTTGACAACATGAATTGTCCGTGATTGCATGTATGTCCATCTAGAGAGGTGGGCACTTGATTAGTGATATCTGTCTGATTAAATAATGTGGAAGCACTAGATGTAAATGCTCATCAAAACCAACTCCCATTTGCAATATGAAGCATATGTGTGAAGGACAAGCAAAAAGCTTTTCAATAACATAAATGATCTTGGGAGCTGAGAGACAGCATTGATATACAGCATCTGATGTTTTAAAGCATCACATGGATGCATAAGTACATGACTACCTGGTGTGTAATCATAGTCCTTTCAGCTGCCTCAGGGCTGGGTTCAGGGTAATATTGCATACATACTGTGACTCTAATGTGGAATTTGTCTTCTGACTGAGCACAATCAACCAGGAAAACAGCGCTTGCCCAACAACCCCTAAATGTTGTGTCATCATAGCCCAATCTAGCTGCTCCTCCCACCAGGATTGTGTAAGCTGGTCTGTCCAATTTTGACCTTCACTCCTCCTGCTGTGATCCATCAATGAGGTAGTGCCCTCTATGGTAGCGGAAGCATCAAGCATCAGGCTGGGTCTTGGCAAGCAAATGGGAGTGATGGATCCCTGCCTGTGTGCATTTGGTGTGCTGGTGCATTCCATCAGGAAGGTGGCCGGTGTGGGTGCAGGGAGGAATGGCTCAGGATGCCACTTGTAAGAAGTTATATGCACATGGTCATCTGTCAGAGATGAACATATAGTTTGGCATTGGGAGGCAGGTAGAATGAGTCCCAAAGCATTATGAACATTCAGCAAATGCATCAAAAAGGGCAGGTATAGACCTTTAGAGGAAGTAGGAAGGAAACCAGGAGATGACTTGCTCTCAGTGCTCTCAGGGTATGTGCTGATGAAGACATCACTGCTAAATCCTTTCTGATCTCTCTGATCACTATGGAAACCAAAAAAAACTTCCGACACATGTGATTTGCCATGGAGCAAATACCAGTAAGTCCCCATGCTTTGGCCAACACATTATATATCCATGGCATATCTTTACCAGTCTAGTTGCAGACAAAAATCACCACAAATGCTGGAGCAGAAAATCCAACATCACATGTCACAAATCCTCCATTATGCTGTTCTACAATTGTGTTCCCATAACTGTTGTCTCTGCTATCACTCCTTCGAGTCTGATCATTCACTTGAAATGCCACCGATAACACAGCATTGTATGCAATCTGAACAAGGAAGCTGAGACTGATGGAGGATGGTCCTTGTCTTTGGTTCTCCCTATCTTTCATGACACATTACTGCTCTTGCTCTTGTTTTTGCTCTTCATGACCACATACAATATCTCCATGCCTTGCCTTGGAGACTTTGAAATGTGGATTGAGATTGATGGTGTTAGGCTGGTTGAGTTACAAATTGAGTTGGACAAGTTTAATCAAACAGCTTGATGTTGGATACCTTCTGATGCTGGAAAGGTAATAGTTGTCCCCTTCCTAATTTGACGATGCTAATCTGCACCACTGGCAGAACTTTGTGATTCACTTTGAAGATCACACCAAAATGCATACTTTCGCTGGATTCATCTATCTTGATGGTTGCTGTGCTGAAGCATGTGTGTTCCACCTGGGCCAAGGTCATTTTTGTGTGCCAGGGGGCCGCATCAGCCCCACAGACCTTGCACCATTCCAGTTTGCACCTATGATGACAACTGGTGTGTGAGACTTCGCTGACTTCATGCACTAGCAGCTGACAGGACCTCTGTCATCCAGATGATGAGAGTGCTTGTATCCAAGATGAAAAAGTTCTTGAGTCATTGAGTACAATTCACCTGCTCTTGAATAAGGGAACAAGTGGTGGTCTGACTTGTCATTCAAACCAATGAAAGCTCTCTCAGATAAACCAGTGTATGAGAAGCTGAAGAAAGCAGGAGGTCACCATATTCAGTAAGCAAACTATCTTACTGGGTCTGTGTATTATCCTGACAAGGGACACCCAGGTGCGGCAAAGCCATGACAGTGCCCACTTTGGACATTGTCAAGTTTACTCCCAGCTCTGAGAAGTGTATGTTTACCTTTCAATACTGTCCTAAAGGTGCGCTGTTATGGCAGAGAAGTACAACAGCATCTAATGATATTGCTTAGATATGCTCCAAGTGCTTGACATCATGCATGTGTTGTCTCCCCATGAACCTTTCGTGGCCCAACACTCAAATTCATGACAGCATGTGAGCCCCCTCCTGTAACAGCAGAGTCCAAGTATGCTGAAGCAGAGAACAATCTAGCAGTGGAAGCAGAGATTCAGGAGCTTCAGGTTAGCATGCATATATGTCCATTTCATTTGGAAACAACTCGTGCTCAAATCCTAATTATAGAAGTGACTTGATGCCCTGCATCTGTGGTCCAAGAAGAAAACAATCATCAAAAGTGAAGAGAAAGAAGGTCTGGGTAAACACATAAAGCTGGAAGCCTCATGAATTTTTCAATGGAACAGTGATCACTCTGATGTGAGATGATCAGGCAGTGAGATTCATTGTTTACAATTGAGATCTGTTTGCCAAAGTCATGCTCATTTGTTGCATGCTGGGTACCCTCTTCACAGCACATAGTTTACAGGAGCACTCCAGTTGCATAGATTTTCTGCATATATGTATGTTTGTTATCAAAGGATGTTAATAATCAAACCAAACATCATGAGACATGGGTACCATATTACCAGTTTTAGTAGGGAAGTTGTACTCATGTCCATCACATTGTGTCCCTGACACATCCACTGACACTCCATGTTCTTGATGACCACCAAGAAAATTGGTACTTTAATGCCTCGTATTGGTGACTTCAAAGCCTGGATTGAAATTGATGATGTCAGACTGCCTGAGTTTTGTATTGAGCTAGACAATCCTAATCAGACAATCTGATGTTGGATCCCTTCTGAGGCTGGGAAGGTAACACCACACACCTCTCTTCTCCTTGATGCAGCAATGCAGATGTAACAATGATCACAGAACTTCATTGTTCATTGGGAAGCCACACCAAGTCACATACATTTTGTGGCACAATATATCTTGATGGCTGTCATGGTGGTAGCAAACTGTGGCACCATAGGTATCCAGGTCACCCTTATCAAACTGGGAGGAGAATCAGCCCCACTGAGACAGTTCTATATCAATTGGTACCTATGATAATGACTGGTATGCAAGAAATTATATCACTGCATCATCACTCATGGAGATGTCATGAATCAGATGATGAGAGCACTTTGATTCAGGATGAAAAGACACTCAAGTCATTGAATACAATTGAGCTTGTCATTGAGAAAGGGACCTATGGAGCCAGACATGCCCGGCATAACTTTGCTTCTTGAGAGGATGAAAATGACATGGCTAAATGACTGTACAAAAAGTTGAAAAAAGCAGGTGGCCATCAAATTCAGTAAGCAAATTGATGTTAGGAGGTTCATTTGATGCCAACATTGGGTTCTAAGACTATGGGAAGTGGTGACAGTATCTGGGGAGAGGGTTTTTGACTTCATTACAAGTGATACAAAGGGATATCAATTCATTTTTCAGTGTCGTCCAAAGGGCAAGAACCAGTCATTGAAGATGAGTGCATTTATCTGACTAGCATCCTATGCATCCAGATATGCTTCAGGCTCTTGACATCATGCATGAGTGGGCCTGGTTGGTTTTATTGCTCTTTCTGATGTACTCACATGCCCATGGTAGCATGGGAATCACCTCTGAAGGAATTAACAGATGAAGATGATAAGTTGGAGACAGATGCTGGTAATGATGCAGACAAAGATGCAGCATTGGAAGCAGAGATTCAGGATCTTCATGTAAGCTGCTCTACACCTCTGTTGCTTATTGCTACTGAGCTTAGTACTTGCATACAGAAGCGACTCAGCAACCTGCATGAGCACTTCAAGAGGAAATCTGTGAAACAAGAAAGCACAGAGGGACAGTGCAAGTGCATCAAGGTGGAACAGATACAGGTGGCATGTCGTGTCATCCGCAAAAAAGCAAGGTGATTGACTTGATGTGAGCTGTACTAAAACATACTTTTATATGGACTGGGATCAACCACTGTTCAGTAATACATGTTTATCTAAATGATGCAGCAATATATTCATGCCATGCATTTGTTGTGTGTCATTGCACAGTAAGACACTCATTTCTTTCGGCTCAGGGGAAGTGCATCTTGTAGACAATGCAAAGCATCCGACATGGCTTTTTCTCTGTGTCCCAGGCACGTTTGTTATTCTTCCCCACCATATCATAGCAATTGATACCATGTAACTAACACGCCTTGGAAACAGGTTGTTCCTTGTGCAATCAGAGTTGGATACCTTCTGAGGGTGGGAAGGTAACATTCGGGCCTATCACCCGTTTCCTTTGGTCATTGTGCCGGTATGTTAACGGGTAGCAGAACTTTGTTATTCACTTTGAAGATCACGCCAACTCGCATACCTTCCGTTGTAGCGTCTATCTTGATGCCCACTGGGTTAAGTCACCCTTGCACCGACCCCGGGCCGGCGGAGGCCATCATCGCGTAGAGGGTAGCAACATTAGGTTCATGGAGTCCGCACCATTTCAGTTCGCATCTATGATGACCACTGGTCTGTAAAACTAAACTGACTCCGTGGGTTTGCCGCTAATGGGCCGCTCGTACCTTAGACGACGAGAGTGCTACTATTCATGATGAAAGTGCTCTAAAGTCACTGAATACGATCGAGCTGGTGATTCAGGCGGGAACTTTCGGCAAGCGATCTAGCTTTCGTGGGACAAGAACTCTCCCGAACAATCCAGTGTATGAAAGACTAAAGAAAGCAAGTGGTCATCGAATTCAGTACGCGGATTGGGTGTTGGAAGCGATTTCCGACGGTGGCACTGATGTTGGATACCAAGGTTTGGTGAAACCGTGGTGAAGCCCCCCGCAAGCCTCCGCAAATTCAAGAGCAATGAAGAGAAACCCTTCAAATTTGTCTTCCAGTACCGTCCTAAAGGCAAGGTTTATTAGCGCCAAATGTCGGAAACAGTTTCTTCACGATGTTCCATAGATATGCTTCAGGCTCTTGGCATCATGCGTACCTCGTCTCCACGTCCACATTTCCCTTCTGAGAACACTGACGCGCACAATAGCACGCGATCCTACCCCTCCTACGGTAGTCAAGCCCGACGATGGTGAAACCGAGACGGACGGAGACAACGAATCCGAGGAAGATCCAAAAGTGGAAGCCCAAATTCAGGATCTTCAGGTGAGTGCACATACCTGTCAATTTTCCTGCAGAAAGCGCTGAAGGTGGCATTTCAATCATAGAAACAACTTGACGAATTGCGTCAACGCTGCAAGAGGAAATCTGGTGTCAAACGGGAAGGCAGAGATGGACGGCACAAGCGTATTAAAGTGGAGCGGATCGAGGTGCCTCGTTCCCTGGTCCCCGGCGAAGTGATTGACTTGACGATGTGAGCTGAACTGTCGTATGTCACATATGTTTCTATAGATATTTGGAATGAGATCGATCCTTGAATAGTGGTATCTGGCTGGCTAATGTGGTTGCACTGCATGTGAATATTCTTGAGGGACTAGGCCAAGACCATAGATACCTTCTCGATCGCACAAACTTTCTTTGGAGTTAAGACACAGAGTCGATGTGCAGCATCTGACATTTTGAAGTAAAGGGCATCACATGGACGCATAAGTACATGAACACCTACTAACCAGAGTCCATTCTCCCTCGGAGTTAGGCTTTCGTCTGGTTAACATAATGCGACGATCAGCGATCCAATGTGAAATGCGGCTCCTGACTGAGCGCGATCAACTAGAAAAACAAGCGCTTGTCCAACCAACCCAAGATGGTGTATCATCATAGCCCGATCCAGCTGCTTCTCCCACCAGGATTGTGTAAGCTCGTCTGGCCAATTTTGACCCTTGACAGTTCGCCCCCCCCACCGAGATCCATGAACGAGGCAGGGCCCTCCACACTAGGGGAGGCATCAAGCATCGGGCTGGGTCTCGGCGGTCGAACGGGAGTGATGGATCCCTGCCTGGGTGTATTCGGTGTTTGCGGTGTAATGTATCCCATCACGGAGGTAGTCGGGGTGGGTGCGGGGAGGAACGACTCAGCGTACCACTCATACCACACTTTTTGGCGCGAGGTCATACGCCACAGATGGACGTCGAGCTCGGCATTTGCGGGGAGGTATAATGGGTCCTGGGACATCATGAGCATTTGCGTTATGGCTTCTGAAAGCACAAACCTTCAGCGGGAAGTAGAAAGGGAACCAGCTGAGCATGTTATTGGATTTTTGGGCCTTGGTCTCCGGGTGTATGCTGAGGGAAACGTCGCCATAGAGGTGGGCTTCGAAATATCCAGCAAGACCATGCAAGACGCCAGAATGGGGGATATGAAAAGTGAGATGTGCGGAGCGGGTATTGTGTGTGTTGCTGAAAGGTAGTCCTATATGCATGAATCAGCGTACCGCTCGGTGCCGGGAAGGGGATGCCTACCTCTGGCGTCGACGAACAGATCTCTCCGGGGGTGCTCGAAGCTCCAGCACTCCTGGACCTTTGTCCCGCAGATTCCCCTCACGCCGCCTCCCTCGCCCGACAATACGTTCGTTGCCTGGAACATGACAACGTACGGCGTCTCCGCATTCTTCGTCTCGTCGCCGACAGTCTGGTGCAGCACTTCGTTGTACAACTTAGAGGAGGAAAGGGGAGCGACGTGTGCGGTGTAGAAGGAAGGGATCGAGATACCGTCCTCTTTCAAGAACCGCTGAGCACCATCAAGACACTCCGGGCTGAGCTCATTATCCCCGAACGAGCCAAGCAGCTCGCTAATGAGGATATCGATCTTCTCGGGCAGCTCGACACTGCGCATATCGCCAAAGAAGAGGGTTACGGCGCCGTTCCATTCCAGCGTGTTGCGTTCCTGAAGTGTGACGAGCGCGTTTGGGTTCTTCTCGATGGCGTAGAGGGTGGTGCGACCGAGAGAGCACCGTTGAATAGCCTTGTAGGTCCGGGCGATGAGCGGTCCTCGGCCTGCACCAGCGACGCACAGCACGCTTATCTGTATCAGTATTCTGTCTCATGCTAATGACTGAACAGACTTACGTCGGCTTCTGTCCCCTCGCCTGTAGGGCCTGGAACACCGCCTCCTCGTACCGCTCATACTTGACCGGATCCCTCTCAAAGATCGCGTACGTTGAACTCTGAAGATTATCCATCAACGGCTGGAGCGGCGCCTGTACGCGATCCATATACGTGCTGGCAAAGCTCTCGAGCGTACCCTCGGTACGCATAGCCTGCAGCGGCCTGCTCGTCTTCTCCAGGAAGCGGATGTACTCAGCATATCCCTTGCTGCCACCCGCCCCGTGCAGGTTCGCCTGAGTCTTGCTGAGAATGACGATGGGGAGGAATTGCATCACTTCTTTGAGGAACACTTGGGTGGCTTTGGCTAGCACCGGGTAACCTTTTGCATTGGGGATAAAGGAGGTTGCGGGGAGGAACAGGTGACGGATGGGTTCAGCTGACCAACGATCCATGGCCCCTGGTCGAAGGGGGAAAGGCGGGGAGAGGTCGAGCACTGCGGATCGGCTCAGTCATAGCCAACAGGGAAGGGTTGCGTCCCACTTACCGATAGATAGTCTAGCGTTATAGCCACATACAGTCCTGATCACATCCCACATCTCCCACGCGCTGTCGAGTCCCCCTTCCTCCTCCTCGCCTCCGATGGACCCGGGACTGAGGACAATCTGAGGACTCTTCAGTCCCCCACACTCCCGCCCAGCGAGCAGCCCACTTGGTGACCCCGTGCCGCGTTCGACTTCGCTCACTGGTATCCGGATGGCGATCTGCATGTACGACCCGAAGGTGTCGTTCAGTATTGCGTTGATAGAACGGGCGTAGTCGGCAGCATGTGCGCGGTTCCGAGGGGGAGGAAGTACGACGGTGCGTACGTCGAGATAGGTCGCGTATGCGAGTTCTTGCCTCAATGCCTGAAGAACTATCAGTGGACTCATTTATGCACAGAAATAGTATGTACGCACCAGCTCAGAGTCGTACCTGATCCCAGATTCTGGACTATCTAGCTCCAACCATGCGCTCACCATCCCAATAAGGGAGAAGGTCTCCTCCAGGCGGGTGACCGTAACTTCTTCCCTTTCAAACTTGGGATGAAGCCGCCACTCCTCTGCCTCCTTCTCGAGGTCTTCCCCTCTTGAAACTTCCCCTTCCCGTGAGGTCGACGTGGACGCGTGGTTCGCACCGACGCCTACGGGTTGTTGGAGGCACATTCGACTCCATCGGTCCTTCCATCTCGGTGTTGTGAGGGGTAAGCAGACATAACTGTATAGTCTGCTAGCGAGGGTCGTGCCAATGAGCTCCTGCACCGGGGTAGGGTCGTCGGGCTCGCGTGGAGTTGGTGGGTTCGAGGAAAGGGCGGAGAGCTCGGCGGTGTGGATATGCAGTGCGATGGGAGTTGATAGAGGGTCTGGACACGCCATTTTGGAGAGCTTGTCTCCTTTTGAATGAATGGGTGAACTGTATGGTCGCCGTTGATTGTACGCGACTGGAAAAAGGAATTGAACAACGAATGAGCGCTGTTCGGGATCAATCTATCAAAGTTAAATGTAAGTGAGAATGAACTTTAAAGTAGAAAAAGAGAATCTATGTACACTTTTTGATGGTATAACAAACAGCGTTGTACTAGTATGATACCGCCTGTCACAGAGAACAAAAGAGCTTCGAGAGTGTACGAATCCTGGGCGGCAAGCGGCTATTTGGCCGCTTTGGCCGGCGGCTGTGCCCGGAACCATATATCAGGACCCGTTAGGGTCCGTAAGAATACCTCCGTAAGGGTCCGGTTTAGTCCTGGTTATAGGGTCCGGTTTTGGTGGCTTCTAATTGCCCCTGGTTGCCACCAGAAGCGCATTTATGCTTCTTCTTGGCCTTAGGAAAAGTAGAATAGAATAGGCCAATGGCCTAAGCAATCTAATAGAACATTCTTTTTCTTCCACTGTCCCTGCCTCACTTGCCGGCATCACAGCATGCCAGAACCAGGCCTTTGGGCTCCCATCATGATTGGGCCAGCAAGGCCAGCTGTCATGCTAAGGCCCGGTTTTGGGGAACCAAAGGCACCTAACTGGGCCTTAGCACTGGCCTTTGGTTGCCCCGGTCCTGTGGCTGTTCAACTGCCTTAAACTTGCAACTTCTGCACCAAGTTGAGTAATTCTCTTTCCATATTTCCCCTCACCCCAGCTTGACTTCTATCTCCTTCTTTCTGTTCTGCTTAACTTAGCTATGTCTCAGCATGTCACTTGCAGCAGTGAACCTGCTCCTGATTGGACTAATGAAGATTACCCTCTGGAGCACATCAAGATCCTTGCTGCTGCAGTGAAAAGAGCCATACAAGACCTCTGGCCTTCCTCCATCAAAGAGAGGACTGCATGGGCAAAGAATCTTGAGCTTGTCACTGCTTTCTGGGTAAGAGCATCCCCCATCCTCCTCCCACTTCTTTTTGTTTACATCTTATTAGGATGCCATCCACACCCTTGCCCATGTGAGGGCACTAGGTCTAGCAAGGTCGCCACACACTAATACCAAACAATAGATGAAGTACTGGGGGGTCTACTGTGGTTGAAAGCAACTCTAACCAGCAGTACTAGTCAATATCCATGTCACCAGGGCCAGCTGGATTATTGGGGGGGTCCCAGGGGGTCACTGGGGGGTCCCAGGGGGTGTTATAAGTTGGTTATAGATAGCTGAAAAGTGTAGCAAGAGTTGTGGAGTCAAGGCAGGTTTCTGAGAGCAGGGTGTTCAGGTGTGTGTAGAAGGGGGTTCAAGACAATGAGATGACTTAGAAACTGCTTGTAGACTAAGGAGTTTCCTCAGAGATCAAATCTGAGGGATACAGCGTCACTGTACTACTGTTTATATACCTTGTAGGTGTTCACCAGAAGCCCAGGAGTCCAGGTAAATTCTGGGGACTCCTACAAGTGTCAGATAGACATCCTAGCAACACCCCTAGGCCTCCCAAACCTTTCCAATAAATTGTGGAGACTCCTACAAGTGTCATCTTGCATCCCACTACTCCCAGAAGGGGCCTTTTAGCACCACTATGTCTCACCCCAAGTGTCTGGACACAGCAGTCTTGTGGTGTCCTCTGCACAATGTCTTGTACAGCCACTGCAATCATCCTAAGGCAGTTACCAGCACAGGAAGTTCCAGGGGCTCGTTTTTTCATTGTTCCTAGGGCGAAATG